TTATTAATTATTGATTAGAGATTATTGTTATTATTAATTATTGATTAAAGACTATATATCCTTAATGCAATAATCAAAGGAAAAACATTAGATTTTTCCAAGTATTTTTTTTTTTGTCCAATTCTTTTTTGTGTTGCTCTATCTATTCCAAAACTTAACTTTGATACAACAAGTTAAGCGTTTGATTTTGAATTCCTTAGTTATTTGTCTTTGGATTAGTACTGTATTTAAAAAAAAATTGGTCAAAAAATTATTTCTATTTTCTTCCTGACAAGATAAAAATAAAAGAAAAAAAATCTTAATATGTTTTATTTGCGTTCAAGTTTAAGAATGCTAGTTAAAGGTTAAAAATTTAATTTTTTTATCGTTTTATTACCAGTCTCCTCTTTTCGCGCTCGCTAGTTACAGATGAGTAGCCCTGGGTCAAGTCGGTTCGTGATGGCGGATGAGAGTTCCGATAAACCTTGTGTCAAAAAAGAAGCTGATTTTAAACGAATTTTACCCAACAATTCTAAGGAAATTACTAATATTACTAACGGTAAGAGACTAAACTAACCTTCAAGACTCTCTTGGTGGCGTATTTTAGATTATTTAGTCATAGACATGCAGTGTAAGCCTAGAGAGAGCGACGCGCCCGCATTTTGTCTCTCAAATCATTTGACACGAAAATGCAGATGGTTGAATCCATTGAARACATTTTTAACGCCTCTGCTGACTAACTTGAGAATATTTGTACCATTCTTTAGACTCAAGAACAGTGTTAAGGAGTCGGATGAACTAAAAATTTGAAAAAATCTGACGAAAAAGAGACGTTAAACTTAATACTTTGGTTACAAACTCATAAGTTTTAAGCTTGTGTTTTGGTTTCACGCGAATGTGATAAGAATTATAATTTTTTCATTAATATTTGTGTATTGTTTTTTTAGTATAAATACTTCGAAGTCTGGATTCTTAATATTTAAGTGTTTCTAGGCTGTCGGCTTCGTACTAAATTTTGAGCATCTAATATTTATATATGTAAGCTCATACTTCTTCCAACAACGTTTTCATGGAGTTTGGTTGTGAAAATCTGTCTTTAGCGACATGATTTGGTAGTTAATATTTTTCTTTATCATAAATATAATATAAGTGCTTCGCTTTGCGATTGTTTTGCTCGAACATTCATAGTAAAGTATATGCTGGGGTTTCTTGAGAGCATATTATAAACACTAAATGAATATTTTGCTCTAAAACCTCACCCACAACGTGTTCCTAACAACTGTAAAAGGATTTCATCCAGAAATAATTGAATGGCTTTTATTTTTTGACTGTTTTTAGGGATTTCTCCAATGAAATAATTCATCAATCAATCAAACGATAGTTACTTTAGCTTTTGCCATTGAAATGACATTAGTTCTACTCAGGCCATACTTCGATGGTCAATAGCTTTGATGCCAAAATAGTCTTCCTTTATTGGCCCTATTCCTGCTTAATACCTAATATCTATAATTCTAATGAGCTTGGAGCCACACTTTTTGAAACTGTCCTTAATAAATAATTCCTAGAACTGGAAAATCATTTTTTCGTATTCCCTTCCTAATTTAATTCCATTCATTCACTTGATCGCAAATTTATTTTAACTTATATTTCAAAAAATAGTTTTTGGTACACCAAGGAAAGAATTTAACATACAAATTTAATATTAGTTTTTGACAGACTTTTGCCATGGTAAYGGTATGATGTTAACACAAACTGAAAATTGATTGCTCTGGTTAATATGATAACAAACTTATCTCCTGATTTGGATATTATTTGAGTGCTTAAGGACACAGAATGATGACAAAAGTGAAAAGCAATATAAAATGTAATATCAATGCATTTCTATTGAGAACAAAATTTATTTATTTTGGTCATAGTTTTCAATTTTTTAGTGAATTTCATGGGATCACTGTCACTTTTCCTCCTGAATTTGTATCATTATTTTTACATCTTTAATGGTGAAAAAGTAGGTCCTTTGTGCATTCTTCCCAATCAATTATTGTTAAGTCATTTCAACCAACAGAGTCATTAATATTTAGGAGTAAAATATACCGAAGGCCTGATTACTGTATTGCTAGTTATAAGGCACTTTCTCATTCAGAGAATTAAAAAAAAGTACATTAAAAAATAATAATTTTTGGGGTAATATTGTAAGGCTAAAAAAAAAGCAAAAAAAAAAAAAAAAGATATTACTTCCTTTGTGTAGAAAATGTTTAAATGGCCATAATAGTTTACTTTAATCACTAAAAGGCACACTTTTGGATAACATACTGTATCATATGGAGGCATTCTTAGCCTATTAGCATCTCAAAAATTACGTATGAAAATTCACCTGTCAAAAAATATTTTTGATGTTACTGTTTTTCATAGCTTAGTATTATGTAGTGTTATTAATATTAACACTGCTGAAAATTTTAATTTACTGATCACTTCAAGTCCAAAAGGTATTGTGCAAATTTAGCAGCTATTTATATCATTGGCAGTAAAATAATAAGAGAAACATGTCTCGAGGAAGTAGGAATCTTATTAGACTTCTACAAGTTGTTTTTTTTTCTTCATATCTTTCATTGACTGCAGAATTTTTTGGTAAATTTTTCAGTAATTTGAAGCTCAGACAAAAGCTTAGTCCACTAGAATGAAAAGTTGAACAGAGGAGTATAAGAAATATAGTATTTTGTTAGACGTAGAAAGGAATCTGAATTGTTAAGCTGCTCAATTGTTTAATCATTCTAACCTTCAAGCAATGATAAATGGAATGTATTGATAGAGAGTTATATTTATGGTATAAATCCTCGAATTTCTTTGAACCCTGAAAAAACCTTCAACATGAACTAAGTAAGGAAACATATGCAGATAATTGCAAATCAAAATGAAATCTAGCGTGTTAGGGTTTGTAAAGGGTGTCTTTTGCATGTATTTGATACCTGGTAATGAAATCCAACTAGGTATTTTTGTTGCACCCAAACCAAGAAGAATCTCCTTGGTTAATTTGTTGGTATGATTTCTGGTCATTTTATTCCCACTTATTCAGCATGATTTATTTTTTTTAGGTGATCATCAAGTAATGGAACGAGAAAGGGTAAAGAAAAAGCCAGGCAAGGCTGTCATAATATCTGGCACAAGCACGGAACCTCCAATACATGATAAACCAATCGATGTGTCTGATACAAGTGAATATGTTATGGAATACACAGGTTTGTACCTTGACTTTTGGTCAAAATAACATTACAACATCCTTTACCTATGCTTGTAAATGCTTTACAGTAAATTATGGAATTTATTTCCCATCAAACATACATTGAGAGATAGGCTCATCACTAAAGTACTCAATGCCAGATTGAATTGGAATTTAGGAGTTGATTTTTGTGGAGAAAGGAGAACTTTCAAATGACGTGTAAAGGGTATGATTTATGATTAAGTATGATTTAAGAGGCAAATTTCTGTAGATTCTTTCAGCAAAAACCAATTAATAGAATAAATTAAAGTAAAGTCTAGCAATCTAATCCAATGATCTGGAGTTAACCCTCATAAAAAAATTTAGTTGCAAGGTGTTTTTTTGGCTTGGTAAGTTATTTAAGATGTAAAATATGTCTTTTCTGGTTAATTTTTCCTGGGGAAAAATCCAAGCTAAAAAATAAAAATAAAAATAGATTAAAATTTTTTTAGAAAGCCAAATAAATAAATAAATAAATAAATAACTTAAGAAATGAGGTTTATGTCACTCTGACATAACTAAATAATTTTAGAATTGAATAGAGAAAATCAGCCAAAAATGTGAGTTTTAACTTCATGACATAATTTTTTCAATTTACTTGTACAGCCCTTGCAAATAATTTGTCCAGACACTTTAATATAGAGAGAGACAAACTTATGATTTTATGGCTGTAGTTTCATTAATAGTAAAGTTAAAGATGTGAAAAATAAAATAGAAATTGAATGAAATCATCAACCAATTAATCAGAAGTCATGCAATCAGTCGATCAGTCACCTATTCCATCATGCAATACATCAATCAATCACATTCAAGTTCAAAACATGAATCTATCRTGCAATCATGGAGTTCTTTCAACATTCAATTAATCAATTGATCATTTTTGATATGCTTTAAAATCTTGATTGATAAATAAATTAATCATTTATTCCAAGCATGAATTTTCAATACCTAAACCACAAAATGGCTTTGAGCATCATTTATTTCTTAGCATATAATATGATAGCTATGAAATTACAAAAGAATTCATTTAGCCAACGCCAGAATGTCTCCATGAATACAAATTGAAACTTGTGGATAATGTTCAAGACAAAAGCAGGCAACTGAAAATTCAATCAACACTTGGACTTCACAATAATGAAAAGGAAATGCATTCAATTTTTATGGTTTTGTCTAGTGTCTAGAATAAACTGAATAAAATGTAAGGTCCAATAAGTCCTATGTGATCTTACTTTAGATTTAACCAGATCAGATGTACTTGTATGAGGTCTATAAAATTGTCAAGCACTTTATTAAAATGGACAAAAAAATTTCTATTTTTTAGTGTTTTCATGCAGGGTTTACTAGCCCTTTTTCATTATGRCACAATATCAGTTTATGTCCATCCAACTGTTTCCTTCCTTTGTCTTAATTTTAAAGAATTTTTAAGAAATGAATGCCCCTGTGGTTTCTAATGCATTCAGTAATATTATATTAGGATTAACTGGCATCCTCACTTACTCTCATAATGCCTCTTAAAAGCTAAGATATTCCAATCTTTTCATTTATAGATAGAAACCAATGAGATGGAACTTGTAGTTAACACGGGGTTGTGTTTTACATAACTTGATTGGCCATGGAATTTGTATTACCTGTATATTAGCTCAATACAAAAGTGTGTTCCAGCGTATTCCATTTTTATGTGCTGTTTTAAGCCTTAAGATTATCGATTTTGAAGTTTATTCTTACTATTTGGTATGGATTATTTCTAAGTATCACGTTTTTTCCGTATTCTTTCATTCATCATCCAAAGTCATTCAGGCTGTGTTAGACTTAATGTGTATCAGTGATAGCTTGTTTTTTATGGTTGTTTGAGCATGCATGGTATAGTCTTTAATAATTATTAAGCCTAAGTATTTAAACTAATCAGTGATTACTCTAACTGTTTTGAGTTAGATTTAAATAAGGCAATGGAGCATGGGCATAGGAAATAAAATTCTCATACTCATTAATAATTCATGAGTAAACCAGCCAATCAATGGACTATTTTTGGGTCACATGATGTTACTTGAAACATGGTAAAGTGCTGTGAAAGGAATGCATTCAGTCTGGAGTAACTGGAACAAAATKAATTCAGTCCTAGGACTGAATTAATTTTGTTCCAGTTACTCCAAGTCGAATAATTAATGATATGAGAAGTCATTTCAAAGCCTCCAATATCGGACTGGACGGGATTTCAAGTCCGCGCAATTAGTTCCAGTCAGAGGCGAACTAATTGCTTTGAATTGAAATCCGGTCCAGTCCTCATTGTCGGCTTTGAAATATTACATCATAAATTACCATTACTGTTGGCATAAATGATTGTAAAGGAACTAAGCATTAAATATACTTTCTATGCTATTATTAAATTCAAAATTTAATGAGTTGTGCTTATTTATCGCTTTTATTCTTCTCTCTATTACGAGTACTGGTGCCTTTTGCTGTGAAGTGCTCTCCTATCAACCTTCTTAAGGATGTTAGAATATAACATTTACCTTTTACAAAGAAATGACAGCGGCCAAAGAAATAACTTTTTGAATCAATGTGAAAAACATTATTTATTGCTATGACCGTTGTAGACTAAACACTACTTTGAAGCAAAACAAAAACTTTTTATTCATTTCATTTATTTATTTTTAAGCAAAATTTAAAATGCTGAAATATCTTATATTATATTCAATTTTGCAGATATATTTGGATCCAACTCTGCCTCTGGTGTCGTCGATTCTGAAGGAGAAGTCGAAGAAAGTAGTGATACAGAAATAGTTGGACACAGTAAAGAGAATGCTCATTATACGAAATCTGGAGATGATGAGGAGGAGGAGGAGGAAGACGAAAGAGAAGAGCCCCCTCCATTAGAGAGTGAGGATGATTATGAATATGATGACAGTGACCTAGGACTCTCCCCTCCCCCCATGGGAAGTGATGGCAGTGACCTAGATGGCTATGTGTTATCCTCAACATATACCTCCCCAGCTAAGAGTCTATCAAGCGTTAGTGATAACATCAAAGGGGAAAAGGAACCGTTATTCAAGCCTAAAGTGGACAGACGGGATAGCAAGGAGAGTGACCTTGGATACAGGGAAGGACCACCGCCTCTAGATAGTGAAGAAGAACCAGAAGAAGAGGGGCTAATGCAGAATGGAGTCAATCATAGTGATTTAGAGGAAAATTACGAAGAAAAAGGAGAAGGAAGTGAAAATGAACCGGATATACAGCGTGACATTGGCAGTAGAGGAAACCGTGACACGGATAGTGGGGAAAACCGTGACACGGATAGTGGAGAAAACCGTGACACAGATAGTGAGACGGAACGTGACATACAGCGTGACATCGATCGTGACACACAACCTGCCATCAATCATGAAGTAAATAGTGAAATTAATCATGAAATCGACCGTCCTATTCAGCGTGACATTGATCGTGAAATCGATCGTGAAATAGAGGGTGTCATGCAACCAGAATCGGAAGAAGAACTTGATCCTGATGAAACAGTAGAAGAACTACAAGAAAATGGTCCCGAGGACGAATTGGACGAAAATGATGAAGTACTGGTTACTCCAGAAACCACAGAAGGTGCAGACGAACATGAAAATGTTGAAAGACAGGAAACATTCTTACCGTTCGAAGACGAAGAGCTCGACTTACACCAGGAAAAACGTGTAGAATCCCCGGTGAGCTCCATCTCCCCTGAACCAAGCCAAATCCCCGAGGGAGATGGCTACACTGACTCAGAGACCTCGGAACCAAATCAACCAATGATGAGACAGGAAACACCAGACATCATGTCTGATCCTGAAGCTCCTTTATTAAACGACGACCCAGAACCAACGTTTGTCCCAGTGATTCAACAACTTAAGAAAAACAAAGTGTCCTTGAAAGAAAAAGGAAATACCCGAGAAAAGAGCTCGTTGTTGAAGTCGGAGAGTTCRGAGGATGACGGTATGGAACCATCCTCTGGAACTTATGGCGGACAGACGCACTTGAGCGAGAGCGAGTCAGAAAGTGAAAGCGTTACGGAAGAAGTAAAGGCTGCTGAAAATATCAAATTGATTGAAAGTGAAACTGTTGGTACTAAATATTCAAAAGACGGTAACGTTAATTATAAAAAACAAATTAACAAGGACAACACTGGGATGAAAGCCGCTAAATCACCACGAGATACCACTAGTAATAAAAACACTGGATCCAAGAAAGTTAATTCTGTTGATGCAAAGAAAAAGGTTCCTACAAAACAAACTAATGATAGTAAAGCGAACAGACCGAAGGTTTCAGCGCAAGGTCGAGGGTCTTCAAGGGGCTCTAGTGTAGAGAACAGTACAGAAGATCTAACAAAGAAGGCTTCTAAAATTGCTGGTAGTATTGGAACAGAGCGTCATGTGCGAGTCAAACAAGCATCAGGGATGGCTGTTAAAGATGAAAGACCTAGAACTAAAAAGATTAATCAAGAGGTGAGGAAGCATGCGCCTGGTCTGCCGGTTAAGGAAACAACGAGTACGATTAGGCAAGCTACTGGGAGAAGTAAAGAAAATCTTAATTTAAAAGAGGAGAAGAAGAAAACTAGAAGTCCCGTCGATTCTGGAGAAACGCTGGCTAAGAAGACACGGTCAGAGGCACAAGATAGATCAAGAAAAGCAAATGTACCCGTCAAGAAAGAGGAGAGAAGTAAAGAGAATGTAAACGCGACGAAGAATGAAACAAGAAGTAAAAATACTCGTAATGGTGACATAGTAAAAACAAGACCAAGGCCAAAGATCTCGACAAAGAATTATGTTGCCATAGGAACGGAAGATGATGACGAGCCCCTTGAAGAAACGAATGAACTTTTTGTCGATGAAAATAAAACTTCGAAGACAAAAACACTCGAAACTCGAGAAATAAGCCAGGAAAATGCTAAACCCAAGCAGAAACCTCGTGAAAGAAGCAGCGTGAAGACGTTGAAGACTAATGAACAACCGGTTGGTAAAGGACATACAAAACATGACAGGAGTAAACATGTCTGGTTGTGTAGAGATGATGAGATTCACAAGCTGATTGCTCAGAAGGCGTCGCTGTTGAAGGAATATGAATCAGGGAGTCTAGCTGGAAAACATGTCTGTAAGTATAGCATGGGGAGACGAGTTGGATTTCATAGCAGCGTAAAACAAATTCCCTGAGTATAAAGAGACAAAAAATGGCCGCCATGTTGGATGACATGATAAAAGAAATCAAGACCAATTCTTTTGTTCAAGTCAACCAACATGGCGGCTATTACGTCACATGCACAAGGATAAAAGACATGGCCGCCATGTTGGTTGACATGACAAAAAAAAAAATCAAGACCAAATCTTTTGTTCAAATAAACCAACATGGCGGCTATGACGTCACATGCACAAGAACAAAAGACATGGCCGCCATGTTGGTTGACATCACAAAAGAAACGAATGTTATTGAACATGGTGGCCCTTTATTTGGGGGGGGGGGGGGTGGTAAGGTCAACCTTTCCTGTTCAGAGAGATTGAAGCGCACTTGATCATTTATTTGGTCTTCTTAATCTTATTTTCTAATGATTGTAGATCACAAGCTACATAAAAACAAGTCCTGTGAGTCCCACTTTCTTTTCTTTCTCTTCTTCCTCTCCTCCCATTCATCCATTCTTTCTTACTCTTTTCTTCATTCACTTTCTTTCTGAATTGTTTCTATTGATTTCTGCTTGATTGATTCTTTGTTGATTATTTCAGTTTCGGGTCAAAAGGGTAGACACGGTAAAGAAGAAGAACCTGGCTTGGACATGCCAGAAGTAGGTTTCTCTGGAAACAAATCCAAATCAAGGTCTACCCGACCAATGAGCGAAATTATAGGAGACAGAGAACCCTACACGTCAAGGAAACGAGAAAACAGACGCTCCCTACAGCACAGGTACTCCGGCTCATCCTCAGAGGATGATGATGAGCGCACCAACAAGGCCGCAGCAGCTAAGAGAGATAAGGGTCCATCTGGGACGTTCTCCGTGGGGATGTCATCCAGAAATTTTGCTACACAGAAACACGAGGATCAGTCAGACTCGGAGCACGAGGAAACATGTGAATACTGCGCGGCTGAGAAGGTGTGTGTTGAAATATTGTTATGTTGTATGTATGATTAAGCTTCTTCCTTATCTTCTTATTCCTCTCTCTGTCAAAGTCAAACTCGCCTTTTTTCACTAATTGGGATACCTGTGTCGGATATTACGAGTAAATTCATTCCTAACTGAAATATTCACTATTTATCCGTTTGGATTGATTTTTTAAATTCTAAAAGTTAATGGTTACCCTCGATTTTTATGTACAATATTCATGTATTCTACGCTCTTTCGGTGAATGGGTCTGTAATCAAGTCGGAACGCAAGCGGTATCGGAAAAGGTCTGTTTTGGGATTCCTGTAGATTGAGATCGAAAATACTTAGGTCGAGTATTCAATTAGGAACGAGATGCAGGTGGTTCGAGACAAGAAAAACTTGTAACCACAAGACGCCACAAAAACAAAAGTATCAGCTAGTAAACTAAACAAATTGATTCGATATCGCGGTCTGAGGCGCTGCAGGAATGATTGGCTGTTTGGAGTCCGTTTATTGGCTGGTAGTCGTAATTTCTGTTATTCTGCGTTTATTGGCTGGTAGTCGTAATTTCTGTTATTCTGCGTTTATTGGCTGGTAGTCGTNTGTTATTCTGCGTTTATTGGCTGGTAGTCGTAATTTCTGTTATTCTGCGTTTATTGGCTGGTAGTCGTAATTTCTGTTATTCTGCGTTTATTGGCCAGTAGTCGTAATTTCTGTTATTCTGCGTAATTCGTACAAATTGAAAAAAGTACAAATGTCTTGTGATATACACTCGTAGAAGACCGGCATAGAACTGAAAATTACGGGGGAAATTTTATTATTTTATTCCGATATTTTCCCCCATAAGATGATGTTGCGTTACTATCTTGAGTATTACGTGACGCGGTGGTTTTCTATCTATCATTCATTCACATTGTAGGCAAAAATCATCAATATGTACCCACAAACATGTGCTTTATTTATTACCATTTTTGAGCGTGACATTTACATTACGTGACATTTCGTATATTGCGTTACACTTTCTTCGATCTCCCAGCTGGTAGAATTTAGGATAGATATTTCTATTAACTTAATTATTCCACTAATTAGCGGTTAAGGCTCCTGGTGCTATCGATGATAATAAAAACTCCATTTTCTTTCCAACCAATGTGGGTGTTAGTCTATTTCCACCAATACAAAATAGAAAGAAAAAAGAAAATAATTTTTTTGTATTAGTTCGATAGTATTGCAATTTGATTTTTTACAAAAACATAGCACATTCTCGCAATCTGATAGGCTTACAGCTATGATCAATAAGAGGACATATATATACATACATATATACATAGCTTCATATAAAGTTTAAGTAGTAATTTTTTAAAAATATATGTCTTGCTTCACCAATCTTCCTCCTTTCGTCGTTCTTATTTGCGCACAAGGTACCCCAAAAAATTTTTTTTGGAACACTTCATGTAATAGCTTGTCCATCCTGTTCTTTATTATCGATATCTAAGCTTGAATATAAAAAAGATACAAAATAGACAGGTGTCCTAAAATTCATAAAAATTCATTAAGATACTTCCAATAAATAACGCGTTATGAAAACATTTTCAATATCAATTCCATTCATTCAAGTTCGGTTGTATTTTTCATATGTTTTATTTTATTTTTCATTGCCATCCCTTTCTCATTTTCAGTATCATTCTGCTTCGTTTAGGAAGTATTTATCTTTTTCAAACAACTTTTTACTTAGAATCCATTTTTGTTTGCGCAAATATGTTTTGTTTTTTTAAAATTTCCCTTTTTCAATTCTACTTCTCTTATTCTTATCATTCTACTTAGTATCAGATCGACTGAGAGTTTTTCTAGAATTCGCTCAAGCAAGGTCTTTATTATCTTTTTATCGCTATATCAAGGATCTAAGACCATTCCTTCCTTCCTTCTGACACTGATTTGCGTGATAACCTCATATACCAATACATTAGCTCAATGGCCGCAATTTCCATTCGTTTTTCATATTGGAATCGAACAAATAGGCTCATTTTTATTCGATTATATGATATACTTTATGCATTTAGACTTCCCATTACCTTTAAAGGGTATTTCCCATCCATTTTTTCCATTTCTTCGGCGATAAATCGGTTGTCATGTTTTGCTTAGAGAATTCTCTTTCAGATTTGCTTGCATCTCTAATGCATTCTTTCACTTCTCTCTCTCAAATGCCTCCATATTGTTTATTTGCGTTAACATTTAACGTGATACTTCCTTCAGTATTATCTCTTTATTTACCAATAACGCATAGTATAACAAACATTTAAACAGAGTCAAATTCTCAAGAGATCTAAAATAGAAAAACACTTCAGCAAACTCGAATAGTGCCTGATCATTCATTATATTTATCACAGACATATATTTATTCATTATATTTGTTCATACATAAATTCACTTTAGTTAGATGCTGTAGTAGTATTACCATCCGACGTTCTATTTAATCTTAATCGTATGCATCATGATCGTTCTTCAGGCATTAATTATTGAATGAGCTCAGTATCTATTATCATGAAATTATTCCAAGACTTTTGACTGACAGTCTTTCTTTCTCACTTCATATATTCTCTTGAAGTCCACTCAACCAGACTCTAAACCATATAGAATATATATACTATTTGTATATGTATAATATGTATAATAGCCTAGTGTTTGTCCCAGTTGCCTTGATGAGAGATGAATTCATATGACTCGTAGTTCCATACAGATGTATTATTGTGGCTGTATAATCTAATACAAATGACCCAAAGACTCACCAAGAAAACTTGATGCACAAAAATTTCATTACTTCTATTGCTACTGAAGACGACTTTCCGGTGAATAAACTATTTAACGTGCAAGTATTAAATTATTCTACTCGGATTATTATTTATTGCCCTTCCTTCCTTCCCTCCTAGGCCGCAAAGAAAGCTCAAGAAAGAGATTTAGGTAAGTCTGAATGATATTTTTCCTTCTTACTCTAGCTTACTCGATAAACTCTACTCTTAACTCGAGAGCTTTATTCCAGGGAGCTTCAACTTCATTTCGTAAACTAAGGCTGGAATTCTTCTCTTCCGCATTCAAGAATTCGTTAAATTGATCGATTAAATAAGTATCTTCCCACCCAATGTGGTTAAAAATCTTGGAAAGTGCAGCGAAAGTTAGACTGTGATTCGAAAATTATGCTGATATTTAACACACGAAGGCTCCAACATCTTACATTTCGATATGTTTTTCTTCGAAAGTTTACTCTTTTGCATAACTTTTTTTATTATTTCACCAGTTAAGTTCTTTAATTTTTAATGCATTTAGTGTTTTTTGTTTCTTTGAAAGTGCTTCAGGCTAAGCTAATTATTTTTTGGTTTCACGCACGTACCAAGTGGTATCGTGACATACCATAGCACTCAAATGGTTTCATCTCGCGAGAACCAAGCTCACCCAATCATATTCTTTGAAATGGGAAGCCATTTGAGAGATGGTCACTGGATCGCACCGCACTCAAATGACTTCCTCTCTGAACCAATCACAAGGCTCACAAAAACGCACCTCATCCAATCACATTCATTGAATTTGGAAGCCAATTCAGAGTCACTGAATCGAACGTTTTCCCACTCTTACAACTGGAGACAAGTTGGGATTTATCCAGCGGTCGTACTTGCTTTATACTGCACTCCTCATTCAAACCTTTCAAGTATTTTCATAATTTTTCGAAGTGTTCATACCTAACACTACACGATTTAGAGAGAAGCATATCTTTGACAAAGGAATTATTATYCTGGTGTCCCTCTTTTCGTTTTATTCCGAATAGTTTTCGCTTCATTTCAGTTTCCTTATACACTACTTCAAAGAAATGGCGGCGTAGCATTAATGCAGTCGTCACTCCTCCAGGGTCTCTGGTTCGATTCCTCGACTCAGCATCACATGCCAATGTGAGGCAGAGTTTTTTCAGGTCTCTCCCTTGATTCAAGAGTCTTTTCTCCGAATTCTTCGGTTTTCCACCCTCCTCAAACCTAACAAGCTAATTCCTAATCTGTGAATTAGCCGTACAGTGTCTTAGATCAAACTGGGTTGTTTCGGGGTGCGACGAATTTCATAAGTTTCTTTTTATTTGTAGATTCGTCTGGTCGGCGGGTTATTTCTTTATAAGCTATTTATTGCCTTTTTTCAATTCTCTTGTATTTTGCACGCAAAGAATATTTTATCAATTGCACAGGAAGCCCGGTTGTCAAGGAAGTCTCTTACATCAATTTGGATGTACTTCACTTATCGAACACTATCTAATCACAGCAGTCATACGTGTTCCGCTTATGTCCGTGTTTATTTGCTTTTTAATTTAAAGCACTTCAATCTGATACTATCCTGTCCAACTCGAGGTCACGCAAACGTTGATCAGTTAAGATGATGATGATGACGATGATTAGGATGATAGTGATGATAGTGATATTGTATTGCAATATTTTTTCTTCTACATTACCTAAAAAATCGATGAAAGTGTTGATGGTAACAATAAATATGATGATGACGACAATGATGATGATTATTATGGTAATGGTGTTGTTAATGGTGATGAAAATGGTGATATTGGTGGTGGTGAGGATGACGACGGTGATGATGATGGTAATGGTAATGATAATGGTGATGATGATGATAATGGTGATAATGATGGTGATGGTAATGGTGATAATGATGATGGTGTTGGTAATGGTAAGTGATGATGGTAATGGTAATGATAATGGTGATGATGATGATAATGGTGATAATGATGAGGAGGAGGATGATGATGATGATAGTAATGAGAAGATGATGTTAGGAATAATAAAAGTAATGTAATATGATAGTGATGATAATGATGCATTTAATATGATGTGATATGACTAAATAATCTAATATATTACAGTATATATTTTCGTATTTTTATTTTCTCTTTTGTTTTTATCCAATTTGGGCTCCCTGTAGCACAACTAGGTTCCCACTTTCGCTTTCATGTGCATTAAAAAAGTTCTCGTTTTCCCTGTCTATTTTTCGTTGTTTTTTTTTTTTCTCTCCCTCTACAAGACTCTACTTTAATATCGATCCATCTTAACCATTACTTGAGGGTCTCCTAAATATATCAAAGTGATTGAAGGTTTGATACATGGAAGAAAATGTTTGTTGTTTCGTTAATTTACAATACCTGACTTCATATCCACATATAAAACCTTCTTTAAGAACTTCAAGATTTAAGCCAGATTATTCCAATACTGGGGAAAAAATCCCCAACTAATAAGCTTAAAATGTCATTGGATTGTAGAATAAACTTCTTAAATGCACTTACTTTCCAAATACACTTGATTTATGAATTGAATGGGACTTAGATTTATCTATTAGATGTTTGACATTAGTTTTAATGACATGTCTCCGAACCATCGCAAAGGTTAGGGCTTCTATTGTGAAAGTTATAATCAAAATCCTACTATACGAATGCAATACAAATAAAGCCACCTCAGTCCCACGCTTGGAGTGGTTTACTCTAGACCTTAATACTTAATGCTAAGTAATCACGGTTGCTGGAGTTCATTAATCTTATAATAAGCAGCGGAAAATTCGGGTTTTTTGGCGGTATTATAAAAGCGCCTACACTGTGGTTCTTCACTGTTGCTTTTTTTATTTTAATATGAATTATGCTCATTAATCAACTCCAAACTCTTTTTCTACTGGAAGGCTACGCCAAAGAGATTAACAACGTCTACTTGACCGTTCATTCATTCACCACGCAAAACCAAACATCCTTTTCAATATCCCACACGTCAGTTGTCTTCAAAGTATGACTCTTTTTTCCACTGCCTCAGCTCGCCTACCAGCTCTCTGTATTCGCGTAACACGTTCAGCTGTTGATGCGCTGTATGATTCATAGTTTCTTACCCTTGGAAGCCAATTTGTTGCTCTCGAAATAAGTCGGGCTAGAATTAATTAATCTTAGAAGTTGTTGATAAATGAGAATCATTTGTTGACATTCGGGGCAGTTCAGCAGCTGAACGCCACAAAACACCTCACTCATTGTTATCACGTCGGTTAGTGCCTACTACCAAGTTTATTCATCATTACTATGGCGATATCTTTTCCATTGATTGATATTATTCTCCAGATGTGACAGCTTCATGCGAACTAACTGAGAAAACGTAATCGGGAACTTATCACATGTACTCTCTTCCAACACTTCTAGACTTCATTCCTACCACACGTTGCCACTTCTTTGCTAAATATTGATGAGATTATATCGATTTTTTAAAGAAATTTGCCTCGTGTTATTCTTTGGAGACAATTAATCTTTTACGACGTGATTGCTTAAAGCGATAATGAAGTTGTGTAGTTGTGGGATTGCTGTCGCTTTCCCGGCTGTACTGTATTCCATTGGTAGCATATGTCAAGAGCTTTGCCCGTATCTCAAGTTGTCTAGAGATATTTAAACGTCCGTACTTCATATCTGAATATCTAGGAAAACTCTCCGTCAAGAGTGGCGGCTACTACGAGTATTTCTATGTTATGCTTGTAAAATGGGATTTCGAAATGGATGACCACGGTGACTCGGATGAATCTGACGAGTATATTAAATACGATGAATCCAAGATCCCAGAAGTTAAACTTTTCAACAAGTTTTGCCAGCCGTTTAATCAGAATCCACTTCCTGTTGGTAAGCTATTCTCGTCGCTAGCACAGCCAGACAACTGATTTCAGTTGTGTTTACTTCAAATAAGCCATATCTTTTTACTTTTCAGTTAACCTCGACCTCCGCTAACTTTACCTGAATAATATGTGTTGTCACAGACGAGCAGAGCTTAGTTTTATTTTAAACTTAGAAAGTTCCGCCATCCAAAATAACTAATTTGTGTTAAATGGTTCGTTTTTATTCCTCGCAGCATGGGAGGGCCCTCATCATCCAAGGAATCTGCTTCTTGGCGTCGTCTATACAGCCAAGGTTAGTAAAAATATCCTTTAGCGAACTAATTGCATTTCAAATTATTTGTGGTTTGTGACCTTGCAGCAAAGTTTACGTTATTCTTTCTCTAATTTACACTGCATCTATTCCCCTATATTACCTTGGTTTACCTTCATTGACTTCGTTTGACTTATTGACTCTGTTTTGCTATCATGACACGCAACCGACAAAGGTAATCTTAATTTCAATTCAATCAGTTCAAATTCGACATTTTTTGTCTTTCGTAATGAAATATGATCTCGCAATTTTTTTATATTTATTTCCCTCCACACAAAAGGAAAAAAAAGTCTTCAGTTTACGTGCTGTTATAGAATAAAACAAGTTAACGTGAAAAATTCAAAATATTATGTTCCTATTGCTTACATATATTGCAATAACACGCTCATATTCGCGAATAAGGTACAGTATTTGGTGCGTTTGGTTTGCAATACAATCAAGACTGCGCTCCTGCTTGAGTGCATGGTTTCCTCAGTCAGACAAACATATCCTGGTATCTCCAGAAAAGTCAAAGTACTTGGTGTATAGATTTAGACTAGAGTATTGATTATACGCAATGACAATACAATACGCTATAGACGATTATTTAACTAACAAAAACGACCATGACTTGAGTGAATGTCAGATCAAGTTCCTAAGATACTCTCAGTATCATATGGTAATGCAAAAATACTGTCATTTGATTTATTTTTTTTTGTCAGTCGGCATTGTATTTCTCGGCTTTCGCGTCTTTTCATTTTGTTCTCTATGAAAAAATCCGTTCATTACCTCATAGCCTACAAACTAGAGTAAGATGTTTCAAATATGAACTCAATACATTCCTCAAAACAATGCGGTATTTCTAATTTTTAAACGCTAAAGGTCATCACTTCTCAGCTCTCATATTTATACTCATTATTTGGGATTGATTTTCACTTTTCATCCATTTTTTATTCACTCGTTTAAGCCTCTCCCATTTTCCATTTATATTTTTCTTCCATTTCTACATTTTCCTTCTTTATTTTCCTAAGAGGAAAATTCTCAAACCTTGACTTTGAGTTTGAACTGGCATGCATAGATAAGCCTCTCTTTAAAATACAGAACATAATTAGTTTACTGAAATTACTTAATATTTCTCAATCTACCATCAATAAAGCAATCCATTATTAAAACCAACTACAAACAACCCTAGCAATTCTACAATAATATATCCTATCGCTACCATCATTCTCCTCGACTTCAGATAACACAAATCAAACTTCAAAATTTATTTTTCACAATTGAAGCCGTGGAAAAAATTAAATATAGATTGTCTGGTACTTATTGATTCGATGGAACATTTGCAGTCTAATTACGAGTTATAGATTGTAAATATTCTAGTCAACGGTGTTCATCTTTTATTTTTGTTGCAAGCTTTTCAGATGTGTCACATTTGATGAGTGATTAATACTGGCGGCGTCGTCAGTACAGTTTTCTAAGCAGGCCCTAAGCTACTCAACTCGATCTGTTTACAGATCTTCATTTCTTTTTTTTCAAAAAGTTCCTGTGAGCGACACGTTGTTCTGTATCCGTTTGTAAAGCCACGGGTAACTAGCTGTTTAATGAGTCCATAAAGAGTGAATGGGTGATATCAGTAAAATATGACCGAGCGAAAATGATTGAAAAACATAGCAAAGGGTTCTTTTTTTCCCCCACGATATTAACTTCCGCGTGCAAAATAAATGTGCAAAATCTTCTTTTTTAACCGTTCCAAAAATAAGTGATGCGATTTTAACATGAAGGAAAACTGTGAAAACACAATTACTGAAAAAGATTGAAAATATGCCTTGTTTTCGTTATGTCAACTGAATCAACCAGCCAACCAATCACACTCTTTGTTCTATAAAAGTTATAAGCTGTAGTAATGGATGATCAAGACAGCTTTAAGTTAATTCTTTTTTTTTTTCGGATGTGTATTTTTCTCTTCTACTGTGGTCCTAACAAGACTTTATCCAATACATATTGTAATCACCCGCTATCAGAACGGAAGCTCGACAGACGATTTCCCATTAAGTGGAAAAAAACCCCGCTATTTGTAAATGACAAGTTTTGTCGCGATCCGTTTGATATTCTGCATTTTACAGAAAACCTTTTTAGGCAAAATGCTCCTGGCTTGAATTAGAGCAATAAAAATAAATAGAACAGTCGTAATTTTCCAAGCAAAACAATCTAATTTATTAATGGCAGATTTCTACTTCTCTTACTTTGGCTGTTAAAAAAATCCAACCAAAATATCCATTGGATATTATTTTAGATTTGATAGGAATTCGTTATTCGGGTCGGTTACGTTACTACCACGAAGCATGAACCATTTATAAGTCGTATGCCATTTTGTTTGTTTCCTAACTTCATTTAAGATTTCGCATATGGCGTAAAAATACTCTTTAAGCTCTTGATCTTGGCCTTGAGTATTGACCCTGATTCTGTTATGATCCGGTATGAATATATATTACAGCTTTTTGAAAAATCCTTTTTTTCTTCCAAGCAGAATGCGCATCTGGTTGCTTAGTACTTAGACCTTAGGGGCTTTCATTTTATCAGTACATGGGGGGAGTTGGCAAAATCACATGGAAAGCTCTACAAACATAACCCATCCACCCCCCCCCCCCCATGATAGATGCAACAATTGCATAACCCCCCTTCATCACCCTGCGATAGTTCTCAACCACCTCAATATGTGATAAACCCCCTAACCACGTCACTTCTCAAAATAACTTAACCACTCTGAAATTTTGCCGGTAATAAATGAAAGCCCCCTTAATAACTAGACGAGCAGGTGAGTTTCGTAAAAAGAAATCTTGCGGTGTCTTTTAGTAAAGATTTGAATAATAGTAAAGATTATTTACTGGAGAAGTGAACCCATGTCGTGGTGCGCCATTTCTGTCTCGAATAAAGAGGACTTCAGTGGAGTTCTCAACGGGACGCGTCGTCAAATGACTTTAGCACGGCAACATTACCTCCTTGGTGTTCGTTTTTTATACTTAAAAAAAGATTGAAAAGAAGCTACTTAACATAAAAAGCATTTGATACGAGGTGAAATACTACTGAGTATCAATAGAATTGCGCATACGCTACTTGCCCTTTGATTCTTACCGCATCCAGAAAAAAAAAAAATTCATCTTGATAAATCTTAATTCTGAAATCCAGTCTCAAAAAAGACAATGGCCGGGAATAGGAACCAAAATAGTTTTGGATAGTACTTTCGCTTGTTTATACATAAAAGCACCCAATACAGATCATTGAGGGAAACCAGCACGATATTTCCTCACTTGGATTACTAGAAATACTAATGGCTAAACTTGTTTCCTCGATTGCAAAGACATCAAATCTTTGCCCTTCATTTTAATTACTCTATTATAAAGGACCTAATGTAGATCTCTGTGGAACACCTTATAAGAATGCAAAATTATTTTTTTAGTATCTGGGATCATCACAGATAATGTCGGCCCAGTCCCCCAACCGGTCGGTACGAATGCAGCAAGCCCAGGAAGCAGTTGGACGAATCAAGGTACAAAAAGGAAATCATGAAACTTAGCTTTTCCCCACATTTCACTGCTTGCTCTTCATAGAAGTCTTGTCTTCGTCTTATAGGTACCCGAAGGCGAAGATCAGCCGACAACAGATGTGGATTTATTTATTTCTACTGAAAGAATTAAAGTCGTAAACTCTATTAATAAGGTAAATACTTCAATCACTCGATAAACCGTGACGCTGTCACTCGGTTGCGTATTGCGTGACTTTTTCGTGTGTCGTTTTTTTTTYCACGCATTCCCAAGAAATCTACTCCAGGCTTTAGCGCTTTTCATGCGTTACAGAAATATCTAGAGGAAGTATAGCCTTGTTTGTGATAAGTCGATTGGTTACTTTCGCAGGAAATCATGATGGACCACGCCCTACGTACCGTATCGTTCATCGCCGATATCGGGGATGTACTTGTCCTCATGGCCCGTAGACCCCCAGGAGATAATGAAAACATCCTAGAAACCAAACCCTCATCAACACAGATTCTAGCCAGTGTTGCTAAGGCTGAAACCGATCCCAAGATGATTAAAATCACGTGTCATGTGTTCCAGGCTCCGGAGGTAGGTCACGGATAAGTAAGGGCTGAACATTTGAAGTGCGTTGATATCCAACTTGGCCTTCGTTTGAATCGACTTTTCATTCTCATTCAACCCAGGCGCGTCATGTTTTCTTTTGTATTTTTTTGTTCTGTCAATCAAATATCACGTTAGTTTTCAATTGATAATCTAATCTATATCCATAAGCACGCGTATGTCCAAAAGTTGTCAAGGTCGTAGTAACAAGAACACAGCTTGCATTTTTGCGTTATTCAACGTGAATTAGCGCAATCTCGTATAACTATAACTTTCCTTTCTTTTCCTAGGCACAAATCATAGCTAAAAGTATCGGTCAGGCGTTCAATGTCGCTTATCAGGAGTTCCTACGAACCAACGGAATATCAGAAGAAAGCGTTGAAGATGCGGAGTACAACTGCGTGTTAGAGGCGCAAAAGATCCTGGGAGAAGATTTATCGCTGCTTTCTGATGCCAGTAAATCAAGAGAGGTACGTTATCACATGAAGCAAGGGGCGCCATGTTCAGCTAACAAGTTAAATTCTAATTCAATCTGTTTCTCTCTCTCTCTTCTCTACTTTCTACATCTTAAAAATATGTGGAAATATTTAATTTTGATTATAAAATAACTGCTATAAATCTCGCATTCTGATTGGTTGGGAGTGCGTGCTTTATGAGAGCACACAGCACGCACGCACCCTTTGCATTTTATAAAAGAAATAATAAACTTGTTTGCTGTGCTGTGTGCAGTCATAAAACACTTGGAAATTTGCCGACCCCTCGAGAAGTGTCGAGAAGCACTCCGCTACGCGTCGTGCTTCTCCTAACACTTCTCTCGTGTTCTGCCAACCCCTGCGTGCTTTATAACTGCACACAGCACGCGAGCGCGTTTTCTATTTCTTCAATTTATTATCTTTCTATGGTTCAGGTCGTAGTAAACAAGAAACCAGCCGAGTCTCTAGGTATCATGATCGTAGAATCAGGCTGGGGATCCATGATCCCAACAGCCATCATAGCACATCTTGCTAAAGAAGGACCCGCTGCTAAATCTGGACGACTAAACGTTGGAGATCAAATACTGGCTGTGAATAATACTAGTCTTGTTGGGCTACCTTTGGTGGAATGTCAGACAATTATCAAGGTAATGTTTCATGGCCAACGCTCGGTTTCACTTGACGTCATTTCCTGTTTTATGCACTTGACGTCATTTCCTGTTTTATGTAGAATTTTCATCAGCTGAAAGCACATGGTGGTCAGCGTTTGACCACCATTTGGAGTGGTTAGCACTCGTTTACATAGACCATAAGGACCTTTCAGTGTCAAGGAATAGAACGAATCTATTGCGTTACTACTCGTTCTATTGTTTTCTTTTTTGAACTAGTGCTTGCCATTTGAAGCTCATATTATTCTCTTGTCTTTTTGGGATACCTTTGGTTCAGAAGGCTTGGAACACAGATATCCCATATTTAGTAAAAACCTGCACCTTGACGCGCCATCTTCATAATAAAAACAGCCATGAAGATAAAAGCGCAAAGAAAAAAAGATGTTAGGATCTTTGCGTAAAACCTGATCTCTTTTTCCTCTTTGGGATAGCTGGCTAGGACTGGTTTGCAACACAGGTATCCCAAAGCTAGTAAATTAATCCATCGGGTGTTGATTTATTAGTTTGTTATTTCTTAGAACTCCCGTCCAGGAACTAAAGTGGTAATGAAGGTGGTATCGTGCCCACCCACTGTCCAGGTAGTGGTAAACAGACCAGACACTAAGTACCAGTTGGGATTCAGCGTACAGAATGGAATGGTAATAACTGCCAGCAAATACTTTACTATAGATAATATAAACATATATTAGAACGGGGGGAGGGGAGGAAAGGGGAGAAAATTATAGAAGAGGGTGGTAGAAGAGGGGGTGGTGCAAGACCTAACAAACTCTACTCCCATTAGACGCCAAGTCTGGAAATCAAACCCCAGACCTCGGAGATCAGAGGCAGTACCCATACAAAACCCTTGATTCTACCAAGCAGTCAATGAAATTTTCCCTTTCTTCCCCCCTGCAAGTATGATTAATATTTTCTCTTTGTTCTAATATTTTTCTCAGATTTGCAGTCTAATGCGGGGTAGCATAGCTGAACGTGGAGGAGTACGTGTGGGACATAGGATTATTGAAATTAATGGTCAAAGTGTTGTAGCGACGTCACATCAACACATAGTCGACCTGTTGGCTTCAACTACAGGAGAGGTAAGTACGGACTACCTGTGTGGGTGTCACGTGATCCTTCCTCTACTAAAATAAAAACCAAAATGGCGGGGGAAAATCACGTGACTAGTTCGTGCGTCATGCCTTATACAAACCAGTAGTAAGTAGTAAGTGAGTAATGTTTGTAGTAATAACCTAACGTTCCATGTTTTTGTGTGTCGTAGATTCGTATGAAGACGATGCCTGCCTCAATGTACCGTCTATTAGTCGGACTAGACGTCCCTCAATATATATAATCAAGGAATATGGCGATCAAGGTGCATGGTTGGATCAACAGACCGTCAGCAGGCGTTTGCTGTGGAGCTGCAGGATTCTCGTTTAAGATAAGGAAAAATAATCGATCTTGCTTGATCATTCGATTCTAACTTTTCGATTGATCATTTAACCCCATATTTGATCTACAACTGATATTTGACTCCGCCTCGAATAGAATTACCTTTCAGCGAAATGGTTCTCCCAGTTGTCGACAACCAACATTTCTTAAAAATGATCAAAATTATGCGGTGGACAAAAAAGATTGATACAATATCTGCGCTGTTCTTGCGGTTAGTGTTGGATTCTGCATTATCTTTGTATTATATCTCGACAAATACTGGAATTCAAATGCGTCCATCGGGCTTGTTAGAGCTCAAATTCTAACGTATTCCGTACGTTTCCATGCCAACGCCAATCTACTTTTTACCGCTGGCCAAAAACGAACGATTATACACAAGCAGCGAATGATACTCGTGAGAGATTCGGAAAAATCCTTCGTTCTTTTACCTTCGATTCTTTTACTTTCCGTGAGTTCTTCACAATTTTATTTATGACGATAGGAAGGATGTGGATAATGGTGTTACAGAAACTGGAGAACATAGTTTTGAATAATCGCTATGAAGATTTTATGTTGACTTCAAATACTATGAATAGATCAGAAAAATAACTAGCTACATAGATTGGTCAAAGATTGTAAAATACTGAAAGCACAACTTGATGAATATAATGGTGGTTACCATGACTACAGGACCGTTGTCATGACAATGATTTAAAGATGTTTGGTATCACGTCATCAAGTTTCGTCGTAGTTGCCATGGCCACAGAAAGAGTGTCATGACTATAATATGGTTACCATGACTTGATATGGTTACTATGACTACAAGGTGTTGCCACGACTACTAAATGACGACTTCAACTTCAGGATGAATGCCACAACTACTACTAAATTGTTGCCATGGTTACGAGGTAGTTGTCATGACAACAAGATAGCAAAAACATGGCTGATAAAGTCCGCTAAAAATTCTGGTAGCTTCTTCAAAGATAAACAATATATCTTCACCAAAATTTCTAATTTATTTCTAGATTTACCATAAGTGCTCGGAATATTTTAACGATATTGTCTTAAAAGAAAAAACTAGAGACAAAAGTATTATTGGACAAAATTCTTTTAGCTTAGTAAATGTTAGACTACGTGTGCGAGAACTATGGGAAACCAAACCTGACCAGATCTGACTTTAATATTAAAATTACCGAGTTTGACTTTAAATCGTAAAAAAACCACCAGAAATATTATAAATCAATATTTGTGAAATGCGTAAATTAATAATACATTCACCAGGCTTACCTATACCAATCTGTAGTGAACGTTTTTAACAGAAATCAAATAAAAATATATGTAAAGTTTATTGCGATACTGTTATCTTTCGTATCTATTTTCTTTCTTGTAGAACCCATAATTTTAGGGCCTGCCATAGACCATTAGCTCTTTAAAAATGACGTCATATCAACGTCATATTAATCAACAAGTGACGTCATAAATATTCAAGATATGGTTGATTCTTACTTCTTCACTGATTCCAGTTTATGACGCAATGATGACGACATGAATAGAAAAATGACGCATTGATGACGGCAGATAGAAAAATAATGATGACATGAATGGAAACATGACGCATTTTATTGTATTTTTAGGATATGAATTTCGCAAATTAATATTTTCCCATTAATGCAATCCCGATATTTCATTGTGCTATTTTTTAATATCCCATTTTATGATCATTATGTACATGATGTACACTAAAATATCATAATTACAAATGTCAAATATCTGTGAATATGTAATAATACCTAACAAAGACATTGGCGATATCGATAACATAATGACAAAGTTAAAGTTGTACTATAGTGATTTTACTTTCCTGTGATAAGATAGTAAGTATAATACATAGACGTACACACTAATGCCATCGTTTTCTTTTACTTTGTCACTAATTATACGACTTTGTTCCACGGGCCAAGTAAAATAAGTCTAATTACCGTTTGCATTACGATCGAACCCCAGAGGTATAAATACCTTCCACCGTGTCTCCTTTTCTCACTGGACTCTGAAGATGACTTCCGCTCAGGTTGTCGAAACGTCCGTCACCACCACCAACAACAGTCTTTCTCAAGACTACACTCACACGGACGATCACATTTTACGACAAACTTCAACACCTGGGTTCAAACCATTTACTCTTTAAATCACTCTATTAGTCAAAAAGTCAATTCGGCTCTAGTGTTCTGAATCAAATAGTGAAATTGCAAGCTATTGAATTTTGTGTGTGAATAAGCTTCATGTGATTAGAGAATGCGAAGTACTAGCGAAAATAGTGGGACAGTATATACATACTCATTCACATTTAAATGCTTAAAAGTCAAAAAAGGATTTGTCAACTTCATCAAGCACACAGTCTTGCTTTAACGAGATAATGACTTTCACGATGTAGCACAATCACGGGTCAAACGCGCGTAAAACTGTAGCCAATAATCACATATACTCACGATCACACACAATCACGAGATCGAACGCGCGTGAAATTGAGCATAACCTATTTCGTCGAACAGCGGCCTTATCATAAAGTCTTGGTTTGGATTAAAATAATAAATACGCTAAACCGCTGATCAGAAGAATCGCCGTCGCCATGTGATCACGTGATCCATCTGATACAGGATTCCGACTGAGCGGCTCAGTTCTCTTGACTAGCCAATCATAAGTGTCCATCTTGTTTTGTTTCTTGAGTAGAGCGCCTACCTTGGCACGAGATTCTCGATGATAAGCATTCACGTACTCGAGCTGGAACAAAAAGAGAAAGAAAATCTAGGTGGTAGTTTTGAATAGGAAAAATAAGAAATAAGTAACAACTTTTGAATCAGGCCAAGGCTAACCCGCAGATAGGCTTGAAATTTAAGGTGTTTGGCTTTGTAAAGGGAGGAAAACCAGAGAACCCGGAGAAAAACCCTCGAATCAAGAGATAAACCTTACTGTTTTATGGTGTAGTCTTTAACATACATACGAAGCCTGCTGTAATAACAGATGTGGCGGTTCTCTGCATTTGGTTCTGGCGCTCCTTCATTAGCCTCCCAATGACTTCAGAGGCACAAAAAATATTGACTGTTCAATTACTATGCGTACATACCTCACRGTCGGTCAATAAGTCTAACAGTATCATCTTTCTTTCATAAGGCATCTGCAACAAATTATTTTTTAAAAAATCATAAGACTAATGCCAGTGATTCTAATTGTTTTCATTTCTAAATCAATGCTGGCTATCGTGACGTTAATTAGCGTGACATCGGGCATTGGTTAGCGTGACATCGCATCTCTTTGCGTTACGGAAAGTTGAGGGAAAGTTATACGTACGAAGTTAGCAGCCTCAAAGGTGACGAAGTACATATTTGGCATGTGGCTCTGTTGAATGAAAAACCAAACCCTATTAAAATTTTCGCTATTAATTAGCGGTACAAAGAGAACGAAATCAATCGTTTACATGACGTCACATATGACGTCATTAGGCGGATATGGTAAATATTTAAGCTGGCGTGATGCTACCTTGACTTTAGCAGGGACTGCAAGAAAAACTGTCTCTAAGCGGATACCATAGCTCCCTTCTTTGTAGTATCCTGGTTCTGAGGCAACAAAAAACGAAATGATGAGCGGGTTTTTAAGGAGGCGCGATGCTACCTTGTGTTATACCCTTAGCTCTTATACTGGGCATTTCGCCCACCGCAATCCTCTGATATACGAGCATACATGCCCGGTACTATCGGGTGTTCTGAGCCCTACAGGGCATTTTATCTTCTATTGCTACTTACCGTCTGATGTAAACATCCCCGGTACTATCGGGTGTTCTCCGCTACGGGGACAAGACATGCTTATTGCTTGTGGGCCTGTAATTTTTTAACAAAACAAAAATGACTATTGACTAAAATTCTAATAATTTTGATAATTTTGTTTTCCAAATCTCGTCTTCGCTATTCCGTTAGATTCTAATTCATCCTCTCCTCCAGAAAAATAACATGCGATATAAAAGCGACGACACTGGTAATAGATTACTTCGTCGATACGGCGGCCATCTTGTCAGGGGGTAAAACAAAGACAAAGATGACGGAAAATATATAGAGTTTCGAGTTTGTCTTTCTTTTATAGGTAAAGGTGATTGATGTGCCGTCTTAATTCATCTTTTGTTGTATTCTCTTGTGGTGAGCTGTTAATATCAATCAACGTCATTACTGTAACAAAGCTTTATTTGCCCCTGGACGCCTCATAATGCATTGCGATCCAAGATGGCCGCTGTATCATCGCGTTTGTCTATTTACAGACGAGAAATCTGATGTATTACCTTCATGTACGTTAAGAAACATCCCCACTCCGTGTCCAGTGCCGTGCCGATAGTCAAGCCCACCAGCCCATAGTTCCTTGCGGGCTAAGATATCAAGAAATCGTCCTGAAACAATGCAAAGAGATATTGGTTACTTCGGATCGATCCACGCGATACGATGGCCGTGCAGTGTCATATTGTAAGGCTTATACTGACCTTGTGTTTTGTTTGGCCAAGTCATGAGAGAGAGTTGAATCAGGCCTTTGAGTACACGAGTATAGGCTTCCTGTAGACCACAAGAAACAGGGTAACATGACTATAATCCTTAATAGGAACGTGACGTCTTCCAACTGCTTGCCTACCTTTTGCTCTAAAGATGGAGTTCCAAAGTGAAATGTTCGAGTTGTATCACATGTTCCATCCCTGGAAAATAAGACACCGTAAAGAAAGATTGAGAGGTTCCAGTGTATTGGATTATCATCCCAGGGAGTGAGCAACGCGGCAAACTACATATTGTGAAATAAGATAGTTGAATGATGTACAATAGACCATTTTCGAGTTCCAAATTACCGCTGTGTTCTTTGAATGCAGACTCATTTACTCAGGGTTAGCCTCGTTTCAGTGTCTAAATATTCACRAATACCAACGATAAAGTAAAAAATGCACAGCTTCGACAATACGAACACTTTGAAAGTCCACGGGCCTTCATTGGAACACGTGAATATTCAGCACAAAGTCGAGCTAACCCTGAGCAACAGAGAACTTGAAACTGGAGTATACTTACTTATACTGTGAGCCAGTATCCACAAGTAACGTACTATCTGTTGTAATTTGACGATCAGAAGATTTACTTGGCCTATAAAGAAACAGAATAGGAGTGATAGCCATTATCTTTTACCGTGCCCTCGTTATTCTTGATCAGCTCAGTGCAATATTTCGCTCATGCGCACCAAGTGCTACCTATTCCTTGGTAATCCCAACCCTTGTATCTCTTCGCAGCTAGCCCATCAGTACAGTATTTCTCTTGGCGCACACAACGCAGAGTACGCGGGCTCTCAATTCACTTCATTTTATCGAGATATCTTCTAGAAGTATATTCCACTTACGAGTAGTGGATGATAGCTGCATTGGGACCATAGCCAAAGATACTCCAGAAACTAGGGCTAACGTAATCTTCCTGCTTGCTGTGAAAAAAGATAACATGAGGTATTAGATTTGAAAAAAACAAAGGTATCTTATGACCGGTTTACCACAGGTAACCCACTAAAAAGGACGGAATTCTATAAAGGACACTATAAAAAACTCCACACAAATCAACGTTTTAGCGTCGTCGTACTCGATGTTCCTAATGATGGCACGCATGCATGGATTTTCAATTCAATCACGTCTGAAGAAGAGAATAACCCTCTACATATATTTTCTCGGACAAGGACTCAAATCCGTAGGCCCTGTCTCCCTACCCTTCCTAACTTACAGTAAAATACGCAGCCCGTAAAGTCCTCCACTGGTCATGACTGTGAAGCGCATTAAGACCAAGTAAAATGCGCTATATAAGAACCCCGTTATTATTGTTATTATTATATATGACATTTTTACGAGTGAGAAACAAGACATTCATTGTCAGCGTTAACCATACCTTTTGAATTCCTCCAGCTTTGCCGATGCCATCAGCTCTGTTAAATCTCTTCTACCTTTTGGAACCTTAAGAAGAAAGATTATACAAAAATAATAACTTAGAGATCTCCACATTTGGGCCAGTAAAAACCAAACAAACGTCATTCCCTTTTTGTTCCCATTTTCCTTTCCACTTTTTTCTTTTTATTGAATCCTTTCCCTCTTCACCCTTTTCCCTTTTTTACGTCTTCCTTTTTTGCACTTCGCAACTTCTTTTCCCACTTGCCTCATTTCTCTTTTCCCCTCTCAATTTTAAACTCGCCCTACCCTCCTTATTTAATTGTTCCATTTGTTTCGTAATATTTCAATATGGTGCTTCTTTACCTCTTTTTCCAACCATTCTACGAGCTCACACATCGCCACTGCATCTTTCAGCTGTTGAAAAACAATGGATAAATGTAGCCTAGAAAATGTACATGTCGTGTGAGAGACACGTCGAGTAGTATGCGCTGTTAATGCGTGGCTTCTCACTGCTGTGGCGAGTGCCTGACAAAACTCTCAAACCCGCCATCACATGTGAGTAGAGTTTTTGTTAGGTCTCTCCTGTGCTTCAAGTTTTTTTTTCTACCACCGCAAAAACAATTATTTGGAAATCCTATTCGATCTGGCTTCGAAAAACGATATTAATTTCTTGTACACCACGATGTTTGGTTCTTACATTAGCGTTTTTCATGCCTTTGATCTCAACATCGTTTTTGATGGACTTGGGTAAAACAACCGGTGAATATTCAAGATACAATGACGTCTGGAGAAAAAAGACACAACAGTAATGATGAACAAAGGAGTACAAAAAAGGATGACAAAAAAGGATGGGAAAAAATAGAAAGGAAGAAAGAAACAGGATGAAGAATTTCGATGTTCGTTTACCTTGTTAACATTCATCGCCAGTGCCTGACTGCCACGAGGACTGATCTGAAGACATAAGAAAGGACTGAATTCCATTCCAAAAACCCGGTTACATTAGATGAAACTCAACGATCAAAGAGACTCATTAGAGTGTATATCATATATCCGTGACAAACTTGGTGAGAAATTGCACAAATTAGTAAGTTCAGTAGATCTAAGTAGGCTGTAGACCTACAAAACTTTGCACTAATTTGAACAATTTTGTTAGTTAACTTTTTCACGGATACATGGACGTATGCACTCTAACAAAAGAGGTTCCTGCATGAATGATCCTAATCCCATTTTCCAGCTCCATTTTGACCAAATCCCATAGTCTCAGCCTATTTTTTGTTAAAAACTCAATCCCATTCGCATTTTTTTTKTGTGTGTGTTAGTGAATTCCATTCCCAGTGCTTAAAACTGATCTCATTTTCCAGGCCCAAAAAAGGCAATACGCCAGTTTCGAGTTCTCTTTGCTCAGCCTTAGTCTCGTTTGTGCTTTATAATATTCAGCTATTCAACCAAAATCCGTAGCATTTTAATCAACTCGTATTGTTCCGTAGTGCGTACATTCCTTACTATACAATGGACCTTAATGAAAGAAAATAACACATTTGTACACAATCGACGCTAAGACTGAGCAAAGGCGAACTCGAAATGGGTGTATTCCAAGCTTCATTTTACCCCTTCAGCAACCTCCCCAAAGGTTTTGATTGTGAAACATAACGTTACTTACCCACACTTTCCAGTCATTTGAAGAAGACAAATTTTTTAAATCATCCAATATCTGTGAATAATTCTTCACCAAAACACACAGTGAACTACAGTTACTCATTTGCAAGTGTTGTCGTACTTCAGTTGTAATCTTGTTTTTGTCGACAAATAACCTGTCATTGTTAGCACAATAAAAAATACTTCGTAATTGTAATAAAACATTGATTTGAAAAAGTTACAAGTGACGCCAGGGAAATAAGAGGGCGCGCTTATGAAAATTAAAGAATTGAGGACGTCTTTGCGCAGTCTATGGAATATCGTTTGACTTACGTGACTTGGTCGAGTGTGACTATTATGTAAGAGTAAAACACAGGATTGTATGGTACATCTGATCCACGAAGATTGAGCAACCCTGAAATAACATGCGAGAATAACCGTTAATATCATCAGTCATCAGCACTATCATAATCACTATCATAATCACTATCATCATCACTATCATCATTACTATCATCATCACTATCATAATCACTATCATCATCACCATATCAATGTAATTTTCATTTTAACGAGCATCATCATTACTATCATCACTATCATCATTACTATCATCATCATCATCGTCAACATCACCATCATCAGCACCATCACTATCATCATCCCCATAATCACCACAACTCACCAACATCATTTTAATCACCATCAACATCACCATCACCGACATCATCTCCATTTAATCATCAGTCGTAGCCATCGTCATCATTATAATTATTTCAACATGTGAAGATATTGTGAGAAACTTACATGCGATTTCATCCATTTTATATAAAACAAGAGCAAATGACTTCTTCTTCTTCATTTCTAATCGAATCTCTCTCGTTTTTTCCTGCCATGTTTTGCCTTAAGAGAGAAAATATGGACGGCGAAATATAATTTATTTCGTCGAACATGCGCAGTAAGAAATAAAGGCTCTGGGAACGAGATAGTGGGTTACCTGTGTATTTAAGTGACAGTGGGAACAATGTGCCATTGGGTAACGGCGGCTGATTGGTCCATATTTCATCCACCAGGTTAGGAAGCAGACTTTTTAGCTGTAAGCCTTTCTTGTTAAGTTCCTGGTAGGGTATACGAATAGATGATGATAAATGTGGACACGAGTCCTCGATCCAGCCGGACATATTAGTTATTTCATGTGCATTTGAATTGATTATTTTTTAAATAATAAGAGTTTTTCCGTGTTAAAACTGCAATGGGAGGCATGAATATTCAAACATACCGTTTTCAAAGATTTGTAAGAATCTGAAAAATAAAGAAAAGATAGACTGTTTATCTCTCAAGACGACTTTCATTTTTCATCTATTTTAAGCATCCAACAGGAGAAATTAGATTACAAACTTAATCAAAATAACTCACTGTTAAGACCTAGTACCCACGCTGAATAAACTGGCCGTCGAGGGACTGGGTAGTAAAAGAGGGAGTGACTTGCCCCCAGTCCCTACTGGTAACTACATATAAAATAATGCTATGATACCGCACCCATACATATAAGTATGGATGGTAACATCTAGTACACACGCCGAATGAACTGGCAGTCGAGGGACTGGGAATTAGTCAAATGTAAGAGGGAGAGACTGAGCAAGAGTGTCGTTCCCAGTTCCCTGGCTATGATACATACCCATGCTCATTAGGTATGGATCGATAGCAACAGTTTCGCCTTTCTTTAAAATCTGTTAACGATCGATAAGCAAAAAAATAATACTCATTATGAATCAGTAAATTGTATGTAGATATGCGGGTCCTTATGTCATGTCATTATTCAGTAAATGATTTATGGGGTTAATCTGATCTTTTTTTAATGTAGTTAGTATACCGTCTACTAACCTTTGTTAGCCACTCAGTGGTAATTAAGTCATCTAATTAAACAGAAAGTAGAATTAATCCATGTGGGATGTGAATATCAAACAGATTGTAGGCAACACTAAGGTTCATTAGGTTAAGACACTCTAAGCCGATATCCTTTTCACAGTCAAGTTTTCTAGACTGCCATTATGTATTTCTCTCACCTGCTTTCATCAACACCCAGTTCGAATCCATCTCCATCTTTGCCTGCACATAATACCGTCCGTCCGTCCACAAGGCGGCATGGGTCATCGTTACCACTGCATCTCCTGCAAACAAAATAGATGTATTCTATTCAGCTATTATTGCTTTTGAGCAAATTAGTCGTATGACTCTGAGCTCACTACACGACCATGACCATGACCGTGCCGTAGACTTGACAGTGAAAGTGCCGTGACCGTGACAGAGCCGTGCCCATGACCCTAATGTGACAGTGCCGTGACCATGACGTGACAATGCGAAAGTGCCGTGACCGTGCCGTGTCATTGGCTAAATAATGATTGTGCGCTATGATTGTTAAAAGGATGCCATCAATTCCGTACCATGACCGTGCCGTTTGTCTCTAAAAATACTTAAAGTTTCTTCAGGTAACATTGTTCTTGATTGGCAGGAAAATGCCAATAGAGATACCAACCTGATGAGCCAGTGAATCCAGAGATGAATGCTCTTCTTTTATCATGTAGAGATATATATTCACTCTGGAATACAAGTCACAGTGTAACATCATGCAAAAGAAGCATATTTCTTTTGATAACGTCATAGGTAAGCAAAATCACCTATTTACCTTGTAAGCATCGTCTCTCATTTCGTTTGCGCATGAGAAGACACATGAATACGACTCAAACACAATCTCGTACCCAGAGCCTACGTTTCTTCTGGCCTGCGGCGAAGAACGAGGCCTCTGACATAATCAATTTTTTTGGCGTATGCGCAATTTTCCAGAAGTGAAATATAATCAATGAAAATCATGCTTTAAAACAGAGTTCTGTGTTTACTTCCGATCAAAATCAAAAATATCGGGAAAATTTTGGCAAGTCTTTGAACCCATGCGCTCTTATACCGGAAGTCCGAGAAATCCGGGTCTCAAAAAATGGATTATGCCAGAGCCCTCGTTCTTCGTCGCAAGCCAGAAGAAACGCAGGCTCTGGGTACGCGATTGACTCAAACAAAGAATGTTATTCCCAAGACACTTGGTCTGGAATGAGAAAACCAGACGCCCATGGTAAAGAGGTCTATTGCCATGCTAACGGCACAGACAAACGATCCAAGTGTTGTACGCAAACATAAACTGAAATTGCACCATGTGTTCGCCTCTGCAACTGTTGCGCAGATCATTGCGCGCAGCCTTTTGGAAATACAATATCTACTTCTAAAACCTTCATAACAAACTCGTATGTTATGGGACCGATTACCGAGATAATCGCGGACACAAATATTGTTGCTATAAACGTTATGTTTTATCACTGACCAGCCACATGTATGAGCTACTTTAAGAAAAACATTTWAAAAATACAGACCTGGTGAGCATCAGTAGATGGTATAATATACGCTGATATGTTCTTAGCCTTCATCAGAGCGCGTAAGTCAGCCAGACGCTTGGTGGTGTTAGTTCTTGGCAACGCCTTTTCCTTGAGAAGAAAATAATAGCGATATTTGCTTTAATATTTTGTCAGTGTTGGATCAGGCAATACTTAAGTGTAGGACATCATTTCAAAGAAAATTAAAATCTGGGGTATCCAGCTTTAGGTAGAATTTTGCCAACCTAAAAAACTATGAGAAACTACCCTTAAATTGCCGAGTTTGAAATATATATACATTTTTTCGTTAATTAAACCGTGTTTAAAATAAGATTGCCTACCTACTATTTAATGTGCCTTCCAAACTGCTCTATGTACAAATTCATATTTTAGGACGAAGAGTTTTTTAAAAACCATTTTTTACTTTTATTGATTGATTCATTAAGGACCATACTTCCAGACATCGAGTGCTGAACCGTCGTATGGCAGCGCGAAGCATTTACGGCTACGCCGGAGATTTCGACCCCGACACCGCTATCCCTGGATTTACAGGCTGATCAGGAAGCTCGGCCGAAGCCTAAGGGAGAGGTTAGTCGGCCCCTAGACCGTAGATGATTAACCCCTTGCTATGACCAGCAGACCCGATTTTAAGTTTGCGTCGCTGGTGCCTAAACATCCATAGTCTTTCTTTTCCATGTGGGATGCGTTTTGAAACTTGCCGTGAGGCTAGGTACATTACTTACAGAGGAGAGGAACCAGAGATTAAAAAAATGCAAATATATCATTTCTTTAGATTTTTGTCTAATGAGTGAGTAGTATTGAAATATCAAATATTACATGCCTCGGGATCGGTTCAGTTTCACCAGATAACCTTTTCTATAATAGATTATCAGCGTTAAAAAACATGCCGATTGTGCCTGATTATTCAATACTCCGGGGCCAAGAGTTCATCTTTGAATTCAAGAAAATTGAGATATTTTATTCCCGACATCGCTGGCGGGGTTATCTATTTATCTTTATTAACTTTCATTATCTTTGAATGAGGTTAGATACGATTATACTCGTAAAAACAGGTTTAAACTTGAACTTCGCTACGTAAGCCAATATGCGGTGATAAACTTTAAACCATACACTATATTTTTTTCTTAGGACTTCGATATTGTGTTCAAGATAATTTTCTCAAACTTTGTTTGTTTGTTTGTTTTTTGTTTTTGTTTTTTGAATTCTTAAGTTTTCAGCTGGCGCATGCGCAATGCGAGGTAAGCTCAAAGCAATCTTCTCCCCATCCCAATAAAAAAAGAAAATTTTTTGTCAAAACTCTTATATGCGTGAAGTTGTATTCTTTTTCTTGTGTTTATTTTTGTAGTTGGTTTTCTTTGCTTCCAGTGCGAGTATTTACTATATATGCAACAATTCGACTGACAAACACACAGAACTGACTCATTTCTTGCAACTTTGCGCCAGAGGATCAAGATCTGCAAAATATCAATTATCAGAGCATTCCAATATACTCGGATAACAATACGACTGATAATTGTAACTTGCTTTCCTGTTTTGTCTTCAACATTTCCTGCTTTGCACGTCGCAACGGATGATCAAACCCTTCCTACCTGATAACAGTTGAATAGGCTACTCTGTTTTTATCTCTGAGATATTCAATCCTTAAAAAGAAAAATCGCTGCTACTGATGCACAAAAAGATAATCTGGTATTACACTTATATCGTTTGATTATGATTCTATCTTTCTTAATCCAGTGCACTGCAAAATTTTCTGAATAGTCATTACGTTTGTTGATAGTATTCTTACAAAGCGTAACAGCTTCCAAATGAAACGCTTTCTGATGATTTAACCTAGAATTCTTTTTAAATGACTCAATTTATCGAAGGTCGACAAATATGATACATCAACTAATTGCTTTTCTTGCTTGTAGGTCATGTTTCTTGGGTTGATTACTTGCACTACACAGGAGAATGATAGATATTGTAAGAAACGTGGTATCGAAAACGTTTGGCAGTTTTGGCAGTAAAACAATGGCAGTTTTAAGCCATTGGATCAGTGCGACTTCTGGGTCAATATCAATTCGAAAAAAAGAAACGACTTGTCAAATAACAAATGTCAAAGTTATCGATTTTAAAGCCTCAAAATTTTGAACAAATTAATTGTACTTAGTTATGGCTTACCTGCAAAGCTCGTCGCTGAAAATGATGTACGGATTCTTGCCTTCTTTGAGCACCAGCTCCAATGAGAACCAAACTAGGCAAAGTAACTATAAATAAACAAATGCAAAGCGACGTAGAAAAGAGTATTTTTCATGTTTAAAGCAAACTTAAAATCCTAAAATATAAACATTTATTCTTCCTTATAACAGGAATGAAAAATCATTTTAATTTGGGAGTATTTCTTGTTAATTATATCTATCAACGTCTGAGGGTTTTGCTTAATTCATTAGAAGCATATCTTTTCACAAATCAACATTCAAAAAAAGTCGTTTCCGGAGCCGAATCTAAATAAACTGTAAATACAAACACAAAGACCACAAGGTTTGTTGAGAATTTTGCATTTTCATTTTTACGGTTGTCTACAGGATATTGAAAACAGAAAATTTGGGGGGAAAATTCCCTGCAAAGAATATAATTAAAGAGAAGTGGTATATTGTCAGTAAGATTTTTCTTAAGATACGTATATGTACAGCAAACGCAATTTAACAATTCGTCATCTAAAGTGCAATGCTTCTCAACGTCTGTCAAGAAGGAGCACTGCTCAATTATAACAAAAAAATTATTAAATGAACTTGGTGGTTCTGTTGCTCTTCTGTTATAATGTCAATTAAAATTTTTCATTCGGTTTTGAATCTAGCTTATCGTCGAGTCTATATATCCTTTTTTTAATGCAGATGTTCTAACTTTCGGCACGAGCCAAATCGTGGTCGTAATGAGCAGGCACTACTGCACTACCATCCTTAGCAATAGAATTATTTTAACGAAATCAAATTATTTACCTGTAATCCAGAATAAAAGATTCTTGGTTTTCATATTGGTTGATATTATTAAGATTAAGCGCTTGCTATTCTGGAGATAAACAGACGAGAAGGTCTGCTGCTCTGAGGTCAGTAACAGCATGTGGCGAGTACTCAATCTGTGACTCGACCACGAGAGATTAGTACCGACACCTGTACGTTCGGGCTGTAAACTGGATTAGATTTATCGATCAAATCACAGGTAGCCCAAGCTTGGTTTCTGTGGTGTCATGTTATGAGGAAATGTATGGGGATTTTTCAAAAATTTCAATAAAATCATTGAAACTTGAAATAAAGCCTCGAAATTTTACCCAATCATTGAGAAATAGCTGTTCTTTTGCTCTGCGTGGTTATTTTTTGAAATTAGCCCGTTTTATAATTTATTTCCACCCCAGTACTGTAATTCCTATTTTCCAGTATATTCTAGAGAATCGCCTGCAGTAATTAATCCTTGCATACTTCCGCACTGATAATTAATAATCCTATTGATTAAAACTGATTGTTTTGTTGTTAATGAAGAGCTCTTTTGGCCGTTCGCCTCAGACTGTCTTCCGCTTATACATGTCGTGTCTCTACTGACAAAAACAAGATTAATAACATCATTGACAATAATCAAGCCAGATAGAATCAACCTTGGCAAGTTTTAGAAATATGGGTTTTACTCCGTACCAAGAAATTTGAAAACTGGGCCCGGTTTTGAGGGCCATGTGTTAGATAACTCTCTGGGTTAATTGTGTCACCCTCCTTAAATAAAGTTTATGGTGTGGTGTGGTGTGGTGTGGTGTGGTGTGGTGTGGTGTGGTGTGG